CCTCCAGTGATTCTGCTATAAGGACTATATCGTGGGAAATCGAAGGTGAGTGATGTACTCGCAATTGATGTTAACACCGTATCTTTTCCAGTCCAGTAGCTTGAAAACGTCTTCCAATGCAGCGGTGAAGAGTTACGGGGATATAACGTCACCCTGTCTTACACCTCTCTTTAGTTGGATAGGTTTCGAACTCTGGTTCTGTACTCGGACAGCCATCGACAAGCCCTACTGTACAAACACTTCAGCACTTCGATATACCGACGGCCAACTTGGCACCGCTGAAGGGACTGCGGCACCGCCCAAATTTCGACGGAATCAAAGGCTTTCTTATAGTCCATATATGCCAGGCAAAGTGGCAGATTGTACTTTTCGGTCTTCTGTACAATCTGCCTCAGGGTATGTATGTGGTCTATGGTACTGAAGCTTTTTCGGAAACAGGCTTGTTCGGGAGGCTGGAAGTCGTCGAGTCTGCGTGCGAGACGATTCGTAATGACCCTCGAAAACAGCACGTAGACGCGGCTAAGAAGGGAAATCGGTCTGTAGTTTTTCAAGAGAGTGTTGTCGCCTTTCTTAAAGAACAAGACCACCGCACTTCTACCCCAGGTCTCCGGAGCAGTGTCACCATGGAAGACGGAAGAGCTTCTGAAGGACTTAAAGTACCGGTGTTCCACCCGCTTTCAGAAGCTCCGCTGTAATTCCATCCTCGCCTGGAGCCAGGCCGTTTTTAGGGTGCTGGAGAGCCATTCTAATCTCGCTCAGACTGACGTCCGGGATACCATCGGAATAGTGTCGGATAAGACTTGCTCTTGGATCGTTACTCACACTTGCGTAACCATGGTCTGTACAGCTGCCCATAGAACCTCTCAATCTCACTCAAAATCTCAGGTGTCCCGGAAACTATGCTGCCACAATCAGTCTTCAGCTCTGACGGCTGGATCTTTCTGGCAGACAGATCTCTGGCAAAGACTTTGAAGCCCTGGTTCCGTTCGATCGCTTCTTTAATACGAGCAGAATTAAAGTTGCGTAAGTTTCGCCGCATGCATTTGGAGATCTATCTGTTCAGTTGCCTGTATGCTGTCAAATCTGTTGACGATTGCAGCCTCATCTCGCGTCTAACAGCCATGAGATTGAGAGTGTAATCGGAGAGTTTTTGTGTTCTTCTGCGGCGGGTCTGCAGAACTTAGTTCCGACCGCATGGACAGTTTCCACGAGCTTGTCATTCATAAAGTCCACTCATTGCAATCTTCTAGGCACTGAAAGCGGTTACGTAACTCGAGCTGAAGGGTTTCGGGATTCTAGATTAGAGCACGAGGGGGACGGAGCGTTGACTTTGTAAGACGAGACCTCTCCAACTTAACTTTTAGTTTCAGTGTGCCTCTAACCATTCTATGATCGCTGCCAGTTTTTACCCTTGCGATCACTGAGACATCACTGAACAGTTCCCGTCTAGTCGTCATAATGAAGTCAATCTCATTTTTTGTCGAACCGTCGGGGCTCGACCAAGTCCACTTTCTGTGGGGCTGCTTCTGAAAGAAAGAGTTCATCATAAAAAGTCCCTATTTCTCCATGAAGTCGGCCAGCTGCTGGCCCCTTGGGTTCCGTTGCCCTATCCCAAATTTCCCTACCGTCAGCTCACCGTTCTTTCTTGTGCCCAGTTTTGCGTTGAAGTCTCCCATTAACACCGTATAGTGACTTTTGGAGGAATGCATGGCTCTAGAAATATCCTCACACATTTCCCCCACCTCCTCATCAGGATGTTCCGACGTTGACGCGTAAACCTGAATGACCTTCAGCGAACACCGTTTGGTGATTATGAGTATAAGGTACGCAACCCTCATTGATACACTCCCAATCTTAAAACGTTGTTAACGAGAGGCTTGTGGATTATAAATCCAACACCTCCTTGGGACAGATGGTCGCCCTCCCGGTGATACAACAAGAAACAAGTTGCCGGATTCGAGAATCACCGTGTCCTCCCCCTCTCTTCGGACCTCGGATAATCCTATAATGTTCCAGCGCAACTTGTCTATCTCTTCTTCCAGCTTCAGAATCTTCTCGTCAGTCCTCAGGGTGCGTGCGTTAAATGTTGCCAGGTCGAGTCGTCGTAGGTGGCAAACAAACCTGCACCGGAGATACTTAGCACCCCCTGCCCCGCCGTTACCATGGTCGCCAACGTATCCAGGAATAGCGGGGCCGCCGGGGACTGGGGGCCGTAAATTTATGTAATTGTTCATGGGGCGGGGGGGGATTATATTACCGTAGTTGCCACGCTTGGCGAGCGGGTTGGTAACCGCAGTTTTTTTTGTACAGTTGTTGTTATCAGGAAGATGCTGCTGCCTATCTCCTGTCTGTTTCCCTCTGTCGCCTTTTACGACACCCACGGGAAGATATGGGGTAGTGGATATTTTTAACCGCCACTACACGGCAATAATGCGGCGGCTATTCAATGTTACCTAATTAAAATTAATTTTATTTTATAATGATGTTGATAGTTTCATTATTTATTAGTGAATAGTTTTTTTTTTAATATTTAGGTTAGTTATAGCATCGCATTAGTTAAGTAATTCGTCTGTAATGATTTTATAATTATGTAATAAATCAATAGTATTATTAAAATAAATACCTTTTAAAAAGAAATCGTTTGCGGTGGTTAAAACTTAGATGTATTCGATTTATTAATAACTAAAGCTAGTTTTGGCCGGTAACTTTCAAGTAAATCTGGAAGTAGTAAAGTACGAATAATAATTTAAATGACTACGACTTCCGTTAACTTTGTCAAAAATACAGAAATTCCTTAAATATCATTAACGACAGTTGGTATTCCCACAGCTGGGTTCAGACCTCTTATTTCTGAGAGGGTTCTAAAGCAAGGAAATGTCCGCCGCGCTGCCCCAACGGCTGTTGACGAACTTTACATGCCTTCAATTATTTTTTTATATTTATCGGACCCGTAAGTTTCCTGACGATATCTACCTTCTTCGCTAAGCAATTAACAATCTCAATGGTTCTGGCGGTGATCGAACTCGGGTTACTTACGTACTGTGTAGTTTTTTTTGCGAGTGCTTAATCCTTGAGCTACCATGGCGGTAGCCCAGGGTGTCCTACCCACCCCAAAGCCACCCAAGTTAAAACAATCGCATGTGGCTACACCTAGTTTTAGCCGGTTAAACTTGGATTTCACTTCGGCTTTTGGACGTATTTTTTATAGCATTGGGTGACAAACGAATACACAGTCCACATGATGGTAAGTGGATACTGTGGCCCATAGACATCCATATTTAATCTCAAATAAGATTCAAAATGCAAATGCGTTGTCACCTCTGAGGACTAAGATGAAATGCCTTCCAATAAAAAGGGTCTCCGGTTCTCTACACTCACCATAAGAAACACAGCAGCGTTACGCTGGTATTCTGAACTCGCCCGGGTTCAGCTGACCCATTCGTGCTACAACTGTAATATAGCAGCAGCGTGGCTCTACCACGTAAAACTAATATAAATACTATAGGCATTGTATGTAATGGTCATAACTATCATTACAGCCTGTCAAAACTCCACTGCTGAACATAGGCATCCACATAGTTTGCCTTGTAGGGGGATATTTCTTCTAGTTGCCACGCGTGGTAGGCTGCTTGGCAAACGCAGTATTCTATTATTTCCTGTTGAATAGATCAAGATGTTGCTGCCCATCCCCCAATTTATTTCTCTCTACCCCCTCTTACAACACCCTCAGAATTATATGGGGTAGTGTCTCTCACGTTGCCACCACACAACGATTTTTTATTTACATATTCAATGTACGTTAATGCTTCTTCTGAGAAGCTCCGGTTATTTATATGGTAATCTATTGAGCGAATTTTCTTCTAAGCATTATATCCCAGCCACTGCCAGTGTCCGCTTTACCACTCACTTTTCTGTCTCTGTACAGAGGGATCTGTAGCGATTAGGTATCGTTTATTGTGACCACTCAACATGTAACAATTTCATCGGTACCGGTGGAGATCTAACTTGATTTGATTGCGAAACTATTAACAAACTTTTAAGTAAGCAATTATCCTAAACGTATTATATGAGATGAAATTTGTAATATTTCGAAAAAACGATCAGTCCACCAGTGTAAATGGATACGTGTTCCATACATTTACGTCAATTCCTCGATTTAAATCAAAATGCAGATACCTTAGGTTTTAACCCCTTTGGACTTAGATGAAATGCCTTGTTTTCACTTTCAAAAGGGTATCCGGTTCAATTCACTCGCCTTACGAAACAGAGGAGCATTTAGCTACTATTTTTTTTTTTCTATTAAAACAAACTATTATACGCTGGACTTCTATGAGAGCGCGGTTCTTCCCTGCTCGAGCCAATCCATTTGTGCGACAACTATAATGTAACTGCAGCATAGCTCCAACAAATTTACATTATATATATATATATATATATATATATATATATATATATATATATATATATATATATATATATATAAGAGGTGAAAGCGATAAAGCATATTATTTTATGAATGTTGTTATAATTTGCATCCTTAAGAGCTACATAAATGCGCCTGTCCAAAGCTCCAAGCAATTACATTTCGGGTACTTGCAAAGTTGACTTTCTACAATCGTTAACGCTTATATGAAACCCTAATGTACTCGAGGATTTACAATTATAAAAAAATACTGTGAACAATTTAAAAAATATATTTATGTATCCAACTGAACCATCGCGATGACAATAAATGAACTCGGTATCAGTTGGCACGTAATTCGAAAACCGATTTAAGATTTAAAATTAAAGAAAAAAAAAATCCATCATGTGTCTATCAAAAAAGAGGAAAATTTTATTATTATAGATTTAATCACTGATGTCTTTCAAATTGTCGTTATTTTTATTTACATTTTTACAGTAAATTTTTCACCTAAAAGTTTAGTGATATAGTAACATAATATTAGTTCATATTTAATTATTGTAAAGACAACTATCGTATGCGTGAGATGTCACATTGAATGAACTTCGAAGTGGATCGTTATACACCTGCTTGGGCACATATCGCCCTTTGTGCGGATCTTACATGGTCTACAGAACCACCAGATGATTTTATCATAGCAAATCAGGTGAATTGACGATGTTACAATAACTTTGGAAATGCAGTTATTTTCATGTAATAAAATCTTCATGTTTAGGATATTGTCGATATAAATTTCAAAATAAATACATCTATACTACGTTTAATTGATATCTCTTTAAAATCTACATACAATAGATTTAAAGTTAGATTAGAAATGTGGTTATCTATTCTTATTTGTGCAGTCAATCATCCGAGATTCATCAGGGTAGTATTTCTATAGCATATACCACTTTACAATGCGTATTAAATAATAAAAGCTTCGCTAGAATCTTATGTGTAAAGAATACAAGACAATATATTTTAGTTTCTGCTATACGCACCGTTCTGTTGTGCTATGTTAAATGTTATGCTCGTTACTGATTGTAAGTTTTATTGTTTTTATTACATATGAAAACTTATAATAAATGCCATGAAGAGAAAAACTTAATTAATAATTAACACTTTTAGTACTATCTGTTTAATAAAAACCTTACCTTACAGCGCCTTTGGGCACAACATTGTCGTGTTTCGCAAGTTCTTCAAGAGACAACGGAATCACCTCAGGTTGTTCAACCTGCTAATCAATGCGGAGTAACAGGTCTGATAATATATTTACTTGCAATTTTTATTGATATTTGCTGCATACCCAAATTTTATACAAATTCTTAGATCCCCACTTAACGACGGGTCAAGAAAATGGAAAATGTTCTCGAAAAAGCGTAAAGGACGTAATACCAGATTCAAGATTGGCTCAATTTTATGGAAATTTTTATTACGACGATATCAGGTTATTAACATCTGTATATGTTTTATTTTGATTTTTTAATACTGTTTTAAAACGGTTTTAGTACCATAATAATTATTTTCTACAAATTGGAAATTTGGAGGGCTATTTCCGGTCAAATTTGTAAGTTCAAAAATTGAATATAATAATTTTCAAATTTTTTTTTTATTTCAGAGAAAATTCATACAAGATCGCTAAAGAAAAAATATCTGGACGCGGTTATAGCGGTCTTGGATGTGACAATTCTGACCTTACAGAATGCTGGATGCTGCCAGAGGTAAAATCCATTATATTAATGTTTGCCGTATGGTGACGTCGTTAAGGAACCCATCTCCCCATTAATTTCACGTAAGAGGCAAAGATCATGTGTAATGTCCATGTCACTCCTATGCTGGTAGTTGTAGAGAGCATTAAGCTCGAAGTTGTTGACGAGTACGTTTACCTGGAACAAATAATCCGATTAGGTAAGTCCAACTTTGACTGAGAGATCAATCGACGGATTCAACTCGGCTGGGCAACTTTCGGGAAATTACGACACATCTTCTCGTCAGGTATATCTCAAAACCTGAAAACTAGATTGTACAACCAGTGCGTGTTGTTATTGATGACTTATGGATCTGAGACGTGGTCCTTCACTACTAGCCGTATGAAGACGCTCAAGGTCGCTCAGCGAGCTATGGAGAGGGCTATGCTCGGGGTTTCTTTGCGTGATAAAGTTAGAAATGAGGATATCCGCAGTAGAACCGGAGTGACCGACATAGCCCAACGGATTAGTAAGCTGAAGTTCAATAGGCCGGTCATATAGCTCGAAGAACCGACAACCGATGAAGAAAAAGGTTCTCAAGTGGCAGCCTCGTACCGGTAGGCCCTCCAACTAGATGGAGTGACAACCTGGTAGGATATGCAGGAAGTCGATGGATGCAGATGGCTCAGGACCGTGCTTGGCATTGTGTTGTTGTGGCATTACTTGGGGCAGGCCTATGTTCAGCAGTGGACTTGTGAAGGGCTGAAATGATGATGACGCAATTATAGTAAATACAAAACAGATCTTATGATTTCTGATAGATGCAACACGAAGCAGCGTCAAGTATGAAACTCTTGTTATATGATGATTAAGGGAAATTAGGTCTGTGGGATTTTCTTTTTAGTTTTTCTCAAGAACGGTGTACTACCTTTTCATGGGAGTGGTGTCAGGGTTTAAAAGACACTCCCCTCTCCCGCCACTTTCCCTCTATCCTCCTGCAACACGATTCCAAATTGTTACCCATCGTCATTTGAATTCGAAAGACGCGAAGAGATTCAAACTGACATTCGCATATAATAAATAATTTTATGTATACAGGTGGACTATTGGTTTCGGAAACTGATGGACGACACTGGTGAGCGTATACCAAGACGACGGAGACAGTACAGGATGCCAATTGAGGACGATTTGTGCGTACTATTTATATGCAAAATAATATATATTAAAAGTTTGTTTTTCATAAAAAGTAAAAGTAAACATTACTACAGCTCAGAAGGCTACAGATGCTTTATCACGTCTGAGGACTAAGATGAAATGCCTCAATGCCTGCAATTATACTGGCTCTCTATACTCTTCAGACCAGAACACAGTAGTGCACTTACTGCACTTTGACGACAGAAATATGTGGAGTGACTCTTAAGCAGAATGGACTCGTACCACCTAGAGAAGTTTTATTAATTAGCTTGCAAACATATATAATTCTTCCTTTTTACATTATTATATAAGTGTATTTAAATTTTCTTTATGGTTTACTCAATTATTTTAAGATTATAATGGTAAATATGGTACTTAAATAATAAAATTATAATATAAAAATTCATAACAAAATTATTTTGTTATTATGTTTTACGATACTAACGGGTTTAAAACCCCCTTAAAGTAAGTGACCGCTACAGTTTATAAAAATAATTCAGATGCGTTTGTAGCCCTACAGATGAAGTAAAATGCCTCATAGCTCGTGGTTTTAATGACTTTCTTATTCTTCAAACTACAATGTTAGAGCGGGTCTACTTTTTTAATAGGATAAAGGTGACAAACGAGCACACAGTCCACCAGATGGTAAGTGGGTGCTGTGGTCCATAGGCATTTACATATTATATTCTCAACTAAGAATCTAAATGCAGATGCGTTGTCACCCGTGAGGACTAATATGAAATACCTCATTTCCAGTAAAAAGGGTCTCCGGTTCTTTACACACCATACGAAACACAGCAGCGTCAAGCTGCTATTTCAAGCTGGTATTCTGTGAGAGCGTGGTTTTTCCCCGGTCGAGCTGACCCATTCGTGCTGCAACTATACTACTAACTATATTAGTAGTAGCACTGCTCTACCACGCGTGCACTGCAGCACGGCTTTACCACGTGTTAAACTGCACATTTAGCAGCAAAACTATATGAGGATATAACTTTAATAAATTAATATTTTTTTAATGATATTTTCCTTTTTGAACATTTGTTTGCGTCGCTGTTTCTGATCTTTAAAAAAGGTGCTAAAAATCAACTTAAAGCTCTGTTGATACGACCTTTCCTTGAAGATTTGCTTACACTAAATGTATTATATAACAACACCACTTTATGTTCATTGGCGGATACACAATGCTGTAACTAATCATATTATGTTTAATCCTGCTTTTGCATTCGTATGGATATACCGTTGTTATTCCTGTCACTGCATGAACATTTAAATCAGTTGATGTAAGGCTTGTAAATATTATCGCATACATACTTGTAGCAGTGCAGCGTGTTCAACACAGTAACTTCCTACAGTTTTCAGAACCTATCGTCATATGCAAAAGTCACGACAAATCTGTTTCGATTGCTTTGCTTCCTAGTATAATAAAATTTAAATATACAATGATTTCTTATGTTTATGCGAACACGATACATTTAAATGAAACTAATTTTTACGGATTTCATCGCGTATTTTAACTTATTTTATTCTCCCGACATTTCGAGTACTTTATAGCACCAATGGACACGAAGGAATTGTTCGACGTCCCAATATCATAGTTAACAACGGCTATCTAATTTTAATTTTAAATTTAAGATAATATAAAAACATAAGTTTATATACGCGATAAAATGCGTAATAATTAGTTTCATTGAAATGTAGAAATTAACGGGTACCGATCGGCAGCTAGCGGGCGCTGGGGCCCCAGTGGGGCAGCAGAAGCTGCGGGTGAAGTTGCAACATTAGAGGCCCGTGTCCGTAGTGTTCGTGCACTCTGGGAAACGTCGGAGCACGGTAGACCACAGCCTTTACGAGCCCCAAGTCCGCCACCTCCATCACGAAAGATGAGGGCAAGACGAAGGCAGCCTCGTCGATTAAGCACATGTACTCCTCCACCAGTATACTGCCTCGACGCACCAGCTCAGCTTTGCTACGATCCTACTTGTAAAGTAAGCATTACATAGTTAAAAAATAATTAATTTCAAAATATTTTTGTACTTTGCCAGCCTGTAATCAGAGTCTATTATATATCTATTATATAGAATTATGTACTTACTTTGTAAATACAACGAATTGCATTGTCAACCTTTTTAAATCCATGGACAGGCCTTTTTAATAGTTAATGCATTTCTTGGAATGGCTGGCGATACTCATCCCTATGGGCTTGCAGGATGATGTTCGTAGAACTGAGACCATCACACTAGTAACGCTGATTTGAAGCATTGTTTTGCAGAACTTGAGTTCAGCATTTCTTGAGAGAAATTTCGCCATCAGTTTGTCCTCAGTCCCTTGGTGATTTATCACAGGTAACTACATGCAGATGAGGTTGACGTGCGGAGGGGACAGTGAACATATTCTCTCTAACATTCTAATTTAATACCTTCTAACAAATCTTAAAATATCATGAGTTTTTCTATAATTTACACGTTTACACACACCACTATAACCATCACGATCAAGATGTGCAAATGTATCGTAAGATGCGAAACAAAAAATATTAATATTAGCATTTTCCACTAGTATAAATCATCTGTGGTTAGGACGTAACTAGAAAGTCTAAACATTGTTTTGTATATCAATGAGTCTAAATTATAAGTTTAGATTTGTATCTGCGAGATAATTTGTTCTTATGTAACCGAGTAGTGGCTGTGTACGAATATCCACTACAAAGACATTTAAGTATGTAGTAAGTAATAGACCGGACATATCAACAAAATTGTCGTCTGTAACTTTTGTCCTATAGGATGTATCTCCGATTTTTGGCATTTAGTCTAAGTGACATCACCGAAAGTTCAAGACGCATTCGTTTCATAAATTTAAAAAATATTTTTAAAGAAAATATGCCCAGATGTGCATTATGTATAGTAAGTTACGATATGGAGCAAAAAAAATGAACAGATTTCGGTTAATTATCCTAAGAATAATGTATATTTACTAATCTTTAAATTTTATTATTTCTGGTAGATTGTTCTAGAAGAAAGAAAAATTATTGTAATAAGTGCCCTCTGGTGTCCAGTAATGTCACTATTTATTTACAAATATGTTAGTAATTGACGACAGTGCCTAAAACCGATTTTTACCTTATGTTTAGAAGCGTCACCTAATGGGAAATAGCTAAAATGTTTTCCAAATAAATATTCAGCGTAGTATTGATATTTTTCGCTAGAGGGCTTAACACACGCGCGTGCTCACAGTTTTTGTATGCAAATGTTTCCAATGTCCGCTCTATAGTATATATTTAAATCTCTTTGATTCACTACCACATAACGTCCCGTGGGTGTCGTAAGAGGCGACAGATAGAGGGAAACTTAAACAGAAGATGGGCTCAAAATTCTAAAAAACTTCGGTTGGCAACCCACCTGTCTATCGTGCCAACTATGGCAAAATCCTCACTATAAGGTAGTCTATGTAGTTAGACTATGTTCAGCAGTGGACTTTTATAGGCTGTAATGGATTTAGGGTTACGAAACGACTATAGAATTAAAGCTCAATTTTAAATTCATACTCAGTTCCGTAAGATAAATATAAAGCCAGCCTTTAAATATTTTTGTTGTCTCAGTTTCAGTTTGACTCACCAAGAACACTACATCTAACTGAGTGTCAGCGGGCTATGGGGAGATTATCAGCAAGCGTCCAGGCTATCATGCGAGCAAACGCTGTTAGGTGTCCTATGTATCGGGGGACGAATGTGAGTCGGTATATTCCGACCGGCCAGCGACCAATGCGCTGTCCCGACCGACACGGGATTTGGTGGCCGAGAGATCTGCCTACATCAAGACTAGATCGTCGTTTAAAGTTACCTCAAGTTCATAACGCACCTGACATCAATCAAAAGAATGTTAATAATACTTTGGAGAACACAGAAAAAGAAGACTGTTCGGAAGCAAATGAGAAAGATACGTCTAAGCCTCAACAATCGCCTTCAAGCACAGACAACTCTCCAGAGAAATTAGAAAACTCAAAAACAACACAAAAAGAGAGGACTGTCATCGATGGTCAAGCTCCATCTACTAGCGCCGCAGTTTTGGAAAATGAATTAAGTAACAAACGACTTTACAGCACCGTTTTAAGTATGAGCGCTCCGCCTCCAATCACTCTAACGCCAGGTTGTGTCAGATTAACACAAAAACTAGTAACACCCGGTTTAATTAAGCTTAATCCTAAAGTTGTTTTATCAAACAGAACACGAACACCGAATGTCGAAGTTAAATTCGAAGAACTAGAAAAGGAAGCCCTAGAACAGTACAAAGCGTCTGATGAAAGTATTGACACCAAATTCCGAGAGTTAGAAAAGCAAGCGGTGGAACAATATAGTACCAGCAATAGTAACACAAGCTGCAGCAGCGGTAATTCAACTGAAAAGCGAATACCAAGCGAGTATCCTACGGCAAAGGGAAATCAAAAATCGAGAATACAAATGTCGAAATTAAACAAGGATATAACTGTAGATAGTGTCGTTATATACTCGCAAAATTTTCCCGATCTTACCGCCAAAAGCCATACCAAGAGTGCAATCAATTTAAAAAACTTCCACAACCCCCCGAGGGGGGAAAAAAAGGAAAACCATAGGTCCAATAAAAATTTGAGAAATTTTAAAAGTGATTCTCAGCGAGCAGCATCCGATACCGATTATGAAGCAAAGCCTAATCATAGGGGAAATTATAAGGGTCCATTGAGATGGACTTTACACGTGATGCCACCAAAGAAAAGACATCTGGCTGTTTGTGTATCAGACTTTTCTTCTGATGAAGATATAGAGGATGTTGCAAATGGTTCGTTAAAAGATGCTGGGCCGTGCATTAAAAACCATGTCACTGGTAAAGCCAAAATGTCTGCACATGGCGGAGGAGACTTGAATCCCATTAGGAGGAAAATGTAGGATAATGTTAAACATAAATAATATTTATTAGAATGTTTGTATGTTTTTACATGTCAGGATCCAAATAACTTTGCATACAATTGAATTTTGTTATAAACCATTTAAAACTATAAGAAAACTGGGTGTTAATTTCAGTAAGCATCTTAACTATGTAGTTTTTGATGTGAATGTCGTGCTACTTACACGAGATCCAAATAAAAGCAAAGGTGTACTGTGCGAAGCCAGCCAAGACTTAATCTACTTAGGTTGTTTTACTAGTCATAAATGATTTGTATATACATTTTTATATGTTTGCATTTACTAATATATGAATAGGTGAAAGATTTCAGTTCATACAAAGAAAAGTATGATATTTAAATTCATTAGGTGTTAAAGCTAACCCAAATAAATTTTATATGCATTATTTTATAAAGATTATTATTTGATCAAGACGCAAAAACTAGAAAAAAAAAACAATCAACATCTAAAACAACAAGTTTAATGTAACTTTGGAATAATGCTATATAAATATATTAATATTTATAAACTATAAAAGCTCTGCATATCACCACATTTTTATATAGCATTTCTACATCAGCTGGCCAGAAAATTTTCCAAATCTGTTTGGTCATCATCTAACTGTATCTGTTCAAGAGTTATCTTAGGAGGAGATGCTGACTCTGAAACAATAAGTTAAAATTTAAGATTACAGTCCATATTTATATAGTCTTGATTTCATAATATCACTTGTCTTTTAGATATATAAATTATAGCCCTAACAGTCTATCAGTGCTGTAAAAGCAAAATTATTTTTTTTCAGAGAATTGTGAAGCTGTAAATTTTAATACAAAATCGATAACGTTTTTCCTTTTTAGCATTAGCATAGATCTAAATTTCATTATTTTTGGAAATGTAGACATTATCAAAAGCTAGATCCGTACGTTTTTATTTTAAAGAAATATTGCGTACGATATAGGTAATTTATTAGCACCAAAATATTTATATTTTTGACTTAAAAACTTCTGCGAGCGTGTCAGACCCATGTAGATTAAGGAGTACTGAATATAATGAGATAAAAATTATCTTACTTCATAAAGGTTTAAGGGGATGAAAACGTCATTGCCCAAAACACTATTTCTAAAAGGAAATGCAGGCAATTGCTTCTAAGGCTTGCAACTCGTTCTATTGCACGATACGGCGACACGGAGTGAGCTATATGAAAGAGATAGCATTTATGAAGCAGAAGCCTTAAATGTTAAGATAAATCTTTAGAACCTATCATCATTCCTTCAAACCTATCATCATCATCATTACAGCTCTTCACAAGTCCACTGCTGAACATGGCCTTTCCCAAGGAATATCGTCACTCCATTCAGTGGGGAGCCGCTCCACACTTTGCCTACCGGTACATGGCCGCCACTCGGACACCACTGGAACCTTTCTTTCCCATCGGTTTTTCTTCGAACTATATGGCGGGCCCATTGCCACGTTACCATTTTTTTTTTATACGCTTATACTGGTGATTTTATGTTTGGAAAAAAATAGGAGGTAACGGCATTCTTGGAATGAACAAGTAGTAGTTTACTTTTCTTATTGTGATTACCGCCGCCCGTGAACAACTGCAACACCAGGGGAATTGCAGATGCGTTGCCGGACTTTTAAAAAGGAGTTGGCTCTTTTCTTGAAGGTCCCTAAGTCGTATTGGTCCGGAAAAATCTCTGGTGGCAGTCGATTCTAAAAGGAAGTTGTGCGAGGAAGAAAAGTTCTTTTTAATCGCCAATTTGACCGTCAGTCATCAGGTGGTATGGATTATACTGCGAGTATTGTCGCGATGTGCGATTGTGAAATTATGCGGCTAAAATTAGACCGAACAATTCCTCAGAGCACTCCCTTTGGTAAATCGATAAAATATGCAAAGAGATGCAACATCTCTTCGCAATGCCAGTGAGTCAAGTTGATCGGAAAGAGCTCGGTCGGCGACGAGCAGCTCTGCGCTGGATGCGATCAAATGGTAGGAGCTGGAACTGGGGAGCCACAGCTCAGAGATGGCAACAGTATTCCATGTGCGGCAGAGCCCTGTAAAGTTGCGCAAACTTGTGTCTTTTGGGGATTGCACTGGACTAGATTTAGTCGCCCCCAGTCCGAGACTTTGCTCAACAAAGTCACGACTTCAGACACAAGTTTGTCCCAGTACTCGGCCACGTTTTCCCGAGAAATATTGGCACGACCGGTATATAACCCATCACCAGTGCTATCGTCCGCATAGCATTGAATAATATATATGAAATATGAATAATTGGCAACACATGATTGATATGCAGAAGAAACAGCGTTGATGATAGCATGCGGCCTTGTGGAACACCAGCGTTAATGGGCTTGTAATCGGAGCATGCACCGTCTACTGCGACCTTGATGCTCCGATCTGCAAGAAAACTGGTGATACAATTGGATAATTTCTCGGGAAGCCCATAGGAAGGAAGCTTCGTAAGAAGCGCTTTGTGTCAAACTCGATCAGAGGCCTTAGCTATGTCCAAACTAATGGTCTTGGACTCTACTGACTCCACCCATTTATGAGTTAGGTAACCCAGAAGATCACCAGTCGGGCGAACGCAAAGGAAACCGTACTAGCGGTCACAAATCAGCTGGTTATCCTCAAGATACATGAGCTGGCAGTTTAGCTGGATCTGAGCGGTCGCCTTTCTTAGGGATCGGGTCAACTAAAGCTGTCTTCCATGATTTCGGGACTACTTGGACAGCCTTGGCGAGAGACCAGAATGCACGTGTTTCCGAAGGAAAACGATCTAGTTTCTCGCCAATTCTGCCGATGTGCTTTGACTTTGCCTTGACAAAGATTTTTTGAAGAACCCGGAGGCAGAAAAAAAAACTATTATACTATATTATAAATTATAATATACACTCATGAACATATTTGGAGTAACGCAAAAAAATGTATAAATTATATTTTTTTTTTTTTTTTTTTTTTCTTTTTTTTTTTTGGGGGGGGGGTTTTTTTTTTTATTTAATGTTGTGGTTTTTTTTTTTTTGGGGGTCGGGGGGGTTTTTTTTCTTTTTGTAATGCAATTAGATTTTTTGTATGGGCTCGCTCCCAAAGCTCTATCCCAAAAAAAAAAATCAATGCATAGGGGCGGGGTTTATAACAATTAAGGTTATTAATTTCGATTTTGCTTATTATTCATTAATTTTAATATTGCAAACGTCGAAAAAACAAACACACAAATGACAAAATTTAACCAAATTAAGAAAAAGAGAAAAATTTTACAAAATATAAACATTTTTATACTTAACGTTTTACTCATTTTTTAGGAAAGGCTTTAAAATAGGCTATAAACGGCGTTATTTCTTTAGCTCTTTGAACTGGAATCAGTCTTTTTGGCCTTCCTCCTAATCTAGTTATCAATATAATTTTCAGAGATTGCATTTTATTCTTACTGTAATGCGTTTCAAGTTCTCGCAAATTAGCGGGGGCAGGGTTTCTTTTCTTAGTTTTTCTTCGAAGCCTATCCCATGCATGCTCTATGGGGCTTAAGTGGAGCGAGCGGCCATCTCATAGCATTGATTTTAACGTCTCGAAGGTATTCCATAACTACGGCCGCATCGTAAGGGCGTGCATTATGATGCATAAAATCAAATCTATCTCGGGTTGGCTATAGACATCCGGTACTTGATTTTGATGTTTTTTTTTTAGTCTAGCAGGCTTGTTAGGGTTAAGCTTGAACCTATTACGCTGTTTTTAGATGTCGGAAATGCGTTTTGAATTAATTACGATAAAAACAAATTTCACTAAAAATTGTGTTATAACGAAACGCAAGTATGTCAATTTGTTCTCGTATTATGAAGTAGATGTCCGGTACTTGATTTTTTAATTTTGTTTTCAATTTAGGAGGATTGTCAGGGTTAAGCTTGAACCATTTACACTGTTTTTGGATTTCGGAAATGCCTTTTGAATTAATTACGATAAAAATAAATTTCACTAAAAATTGCATATAACGAAACGCAAATATGTCAATTTTTTTTTTTAACACAGATACACTCATAAAAAAGTTAATCACTCGGACTCAGACAATCCATTTGTGGCTGGAGACGGGACTTATATACAACAAATTCGAGTCGCAGTGAGCAGTCAAGAGGTTTTTCAAGAAACAAAACTATAACAATTCACATTACATTATTTCATTTACCACTATTATAGCAGAGTTTAGGGCAACTAGACTTTATAGATAAGATTGGTCGAATCGGTTCTAAAACCGAATTAGCACACCCTGACTCCCGTAGTCTTGTCTGCCCTACCCCTAGTGTTTTTGTAAAGCTGTAGGCACGGAGGGAGCGCAGCCCTCGCTGTAGCTAATGCGCAAGGGCGAAGGGGCTGCACTTCCCGCAGTGCCGGAGCCATTGCGGAAGTAACTTTGCGTTAATATTCCTGTGTAAAAAAGTGAGTTTATGATTTTACAAAAAAATTATTACTCAAACTATACATTTCCGTAACGGAGGAAGGGTAGAGGGGGCTTTCCATGTCCCCCTTCCCCCTCCCAACCAACACCGTACGCAAGTACCGGACGTCTATACTTTACCCTCTATCTCCTATAAAAGAGGCAAACGGCTCTATAATTTCTTCCAAAATCTCAGTTAGTACGTATCGTGCCGCTGTTAATGCCCCATTCTTAATGACGCGCAATTCCGTACGTGCCCCACCGTACAAATATCTCCCCATACCATAACTGACCCACATTACCAATTCACATTTAACACGTTAAACAAATACAGTTAAGGTAAAAATTTAAACAAAACCTAAACCTAAATAAACTTAAATTCAAGTTGGCAAAAATTTTCGCAATATGGAAGACAGCAATATTACGCAATAATTACATAAAAACCGAATGAAATTCTTTTTTTTTTTAAAGTATTTACTAATTTTTGCTGTCAGTAGTACGCACGGTAAGATACGATGCGATGCGAGAGAGATTAAACCTTTTTTGAGTTCTTCAAAATTTGTCCGCGAGTGT